TCTGCTAGTCTAAACTTAAGAAATTGTTGTTGTGAAGTGCCGTCGAGTTGGTTCCGACCCAGCGACCCTGTATAGGGTTTTTGAGGAGCAGCTGGTGAGCTTAAACCGCCGACCTTATAGTTCAAATGGCTTTGCAGTCTGGTGCATTAACCCACAGCGCCACACCAGGATGTGAGAGCCATCTGGCTGCGACATCAGTCACCACATTGATCGCCAGGGTTGATTCGGTTGATCTGGCTGGCTAGGCGGTTGTCCCCTTCCTCCCTCACAGTTCATGTGCGTCCCTCCCAAAGCTGTGCACTTGGTTAAAGAGGATGACCTTCACCTATAGAGGAGGACCGTCCTTTAGTCAAGGGTATACAAGTACCTGCACTCCCTTGCTAGAACCTCCAAACTTAAGAAAAAAATAGGTTGTATTTTGTCTTTAGTAATTTATTATACATCTCTATAAAAGGAAGTTTATACTTTAATAGAAAGGTTTTGTCATCTGAAAAAGGGACTGATTCAATGAGATGCTTTCAGTATCTTCCAGTGCCAAAGTTCTGGGCTTAAGTGCTTTTATAGAAATCACCTTAAAACATCAGCTTCTCCATTTAACTTAATAAGTACTCAACTTTCTGAGCTTGGTACTAGTTCAATTTTTGGCCACTTTTCTGAAACATCTTTTGGTACATTCTTTTTATTGGCACCAAACATCATGTATCTGTGAGTAACCTTACTGTGGACTGGGAAATGGGACTGACTTAACCATAGCTTTAATTCCTTGCATACTTGGCCCCAAGTTCCTGTTGGGGAGGAATAGGTGTGTTTTTTTTGTTGTTGTTGTTGTTTTTTAAAGCCATACTAAGAGCTGGAATTCTTATTATCATCTACATCTGCTTCAAACTTGAAATCTGACCTTGGGTTCATCCCTTGTAGCTCTAGGGTTCTGATCCTTTATCCAGAAAGTGAAGAATTATGTTAAATGTCCTCTAAAATCCTATCCAGCTGTGATTTTTATCATCAGAGTTGGTAAAATACCTGGCTTGCAGTTTGTCCTTATCTCAGTAGCCAAGGTACTTGGGCAAGAATTGTTGTTGTTGTTGTTGTCAGGTGCCATCGAGTCGGAACCGACTCATAGCGACCGCATGCACAGCAGAACGAAACAATGTTCGATCCTGGGCCAACCTCACTACCGCTGCCACACTTGAGTCCATCAATGATGCCACCTGGCTGATCCATCTCG